ACTGACCATGAGTCATGTCATAACTCAGGAACTGAACTATACCAAGCTCTGCAAAGATCTCAACCTGCGCACCAGCTGGAATATTTGTTGGAAACAGTGAACATTACCTGGTCATTCAGTGGAATCCCTTTTCCCATCTTCACTCGATTCTCCTCTGGGTGATAGTCATCTGCATCATAGAATCTCCATCCTAGCTTTAAGAACAAAGGGAAAGGGGGGTGTGGCAGGCAGTGTGGCCCTCCCTGCCACCCTCTTCTCTGCCAGCAGCCCCAGGACCACCCAGGAGCAGGGGGGAGGAGGTCTGGAATGCCACTTTGAGATCCCCACTCATGGGCACTGCAGCTCCTTTTTTCACTCATCACTATTCATAATCACCAAGGGGGAAGACAAAATTGCTTCAGTGGTTTTCACAAGCCCTGTGCAGGAGCTGTGGTGAGTTTTACAAACCACTACAGGCCAGAAGAAAGGGTGGGGAAAGGGAGAGAAGCAAGCAGAGAGAACCAACACAGTAGGACTTGTAATTGGGAGGCAATGGAACAGGTTACCTCAGAAGCCAGCTGGGCACCCACGGTTGATCTGTGGAAAGGACACAAGTGTTCAAACGACTGCTATTTCCCAACCTTCGCTGTGCCTTCTTCCATCCAAGGGTGGCTGCCCCGTTAGTACTAAAACACCAATAACTGATACTGAAGCAATGAGAGCTATGCTCTTGACCCTGAAGTCTAGGGCCTGACTTTAGTTTTCCCCAGGAATTTAAATGAAATCATCACCCAGGTACCACTAATCCCTCCATCCCAAAAGCAGGATGTAAGGTCTCATTAAACTCCTGAAGTTTTTTCGACCCTGTTCTATAGATGTTTAGTTTTTGAGAAAAATACTGAATTAATAATGAGATGAATTAGATCTTGAAATCATCCTCAACTCCTTCCTCCCTCTCTCATGCCTACATCCAGTCCATCGACACATCTCGTTGGCTCTTCCTTCAAAATACTCCCGCATATGACCGCTCCTCTCCATCTGCATTGTTTCCTGGCCTCACCTCCCACCACTCTTCCACCACGGCTTCCTTGCTGGTCACACAGACACCCAGCACAGGCACTTGCCATTCCCTCTGCCTACAATGCCTTTTCTCCAGCTATCAATGTGGCTCATTCCCTTGCTTCTTGTGGGTCTTGGTCAAATACCACTTCCTCTGAGGAACCTTCCTTGACCATTCTCCCAGGCACTTTGTTCCACGGACCCTCCTGTGTTTTCCTAGAGAGCACCTACCACCACTCGGCACACGCCATGTTTATTCACTTACTGCCTGTCTCCCATATTAGAATGTAAGCTCTTCGAGGGCACAGGTTTTCTCTGTCCTGGTCACTGTGTCAGTGACATAGAGTAAGGACCGAGCCCAATAAATATTCACTGAGTGCATGGCTATCATTACCATAATTATAACCATATACATCATCTGGTTAAGACTCCCTCATGTGATCCAAGGCAGAGAAAGGGTACTGCCCAAGCTCACACAAGCAAGAACCGAGACCTAGGGCTCCCATTACATCACGCCAGTCTTACCTCTCAACTTCTTCAACTCATACAACAGTTTTATTTTCATTTCCGTTAAGATTTCCCAAATTATTTTAAGGCTGCACATGTCATAATAATTTTGGAAAGTGAAACCTACCTACCTGGAGCAAGCAAGAGCCTAGGCTCACTATACACCTGACTACGGGGCAGTTCTGGCACAGATGTTGGTCTAATTAAGAAGCCAAAGGCTAGCGCCCCCAGCTGTGGCACAGATGTTGGTCTAATTAAGAAGCCAAAGGCTAGCGCCCCCAGCTGGCCGGCCGGGGCTGGGCAGAGGCTTTGTGGGAGCCAGTGTTCCTCCTTCCTCGCAAGCCCTCGGGGCCTCCCCGCACAGTAACACCTTCCAGCTTTAGCTGATAAACACTAATCAAAGACGGTAAACGGTAAAAGTCAAGTTCCAAAATCTAATCAGAAAGCCCAGGGCCTCGCAGGAGGGACCTGCGCTCTGCCCAGCCCGACAAAGGTCTGCAGGAGCCTGGGACCAGGTTTGCCCCCGCGCTTCGGGCTTTGCACCCTCCACCTGTTCCGACATCCGCCCCCGTCCCCCCTCCCCACCCCGCTGCCGCCTCCACGCGAGCCCAGGCGCTCCCGGTGCCCCAGCAGCCGCCTCTTTACAAAGACTCTCGCTAGAGCCTCTGCACATACAGGGGGACCCCGGTGTAGGAGGCGGTGGCGCGCTGGGTACCCCGGGGCGAGCAGGTTGGAGGCGGGGAGAGGGAGCAGGTGCCCGGCCTCAGTTTACGGCAAAGCGCCGGGGATTCCCCGGGGTCTTCGGTCGCCGCGGGCACACACCACGGAGCCGGGTTTGGCCTCCGCCCCCTCCCGGTCTCCCCCCGCGCCCCTGCCCTCCGGGACCTACTTCCCCGAGCCGCTCACGCCCATGACCAGCAGCGCCGGCAGCGCCGCCATGGCTCCGTCTGGTTTCTTCCGCCGCCTCCAGGGTCCGCCCGCCTCCCCGGGCGCTGAGGGCGGAGCAGCACGCGGTCGGGACCCGTCATTCCTGTCGCCGCACCCGGTCTCCCAGCCCGGCCGCGCCCGCGCTAAACCGCGGTCTGCGTGGGGGCGGGTGGGGGTGGGAAGCCCAGAGCTTCTCCACCGCTGCCCTCCTCCCTCCACCGCCCTCCAAAGCAGGACTCTCCTGCTCCAACACCAACTGGAAACAGCGTTGGTTTATTTAAAATGTTGTTGTAGCTTTGGCTGGGTAGCAAGGTAAAGTGGCGGGTTCGATCCCGGTGGGGCACATGCAGGAATCAACCGGTGAATGCATGGATGGGTGGAACAACAAATCTCTCTCTCTCTCTCTCTCTCTCTCTCCTTCCCCTCTCTCAAAAAAATCAATAAATTGAAAAAATTTAAATGTTATTGTAAAAAGAATAAGCAGATGACAAATTCACACTTTCCCACACCAGGTGGCAATCAGCATCCATTCTCCAAATGATCCCCCCTCCTATATAGGTAGATGGGTATGGATCGTTTGTGAAATTGGGATCATGCTGTACATAGTATTTTGTAACCTGGCAGTTTGTCACAATAATATGTGGTGGGCGTCGTTTGGTGTCCAATATAATTTAGACCATAATTGTACCCGTCATGGCTGTAGCCTCTGCTATTTCATCCGCTCCTGTTCTCTGGTAAATTAATGTAGGGGAAGGAGCACCTCTTTGAAGGGCCCATTTGCTTTTAAACAAGGTGTTAATTACACGCCATTTTAAATAGTTGCTTCCAGGGCCTACCCCACTTACAGGAACACCTTACAGTCCAGCGGTTCTCAACCTGTGGGTCGCGACCCCTTTGGCGGTCGAACGACCCTTTCACAGGGGTCGCCTAAGACCATTCTGCATATCAGATATTTACGTTACGGTTCATAACAGTAGCAACATTACAGTTATGAAGTAGCAACGAAAATAATTTTATGGTTGGGTCACAACATGAAGAACTGTATTTAAAGGGCCAAAAGGTTGAGAACCACTGCCTTACACGCTCAGTATACAGTGAGGAATCGGGACTCAGCCAGAGGCTCTTGGGGAAAGTCTCCCTGTCCGTCTACAAGTGGAACATGTGGCAACACCTGTTACCGAGGGGCATCTTCCTGCTCTCCTCACTCTGTAGAACGATGGTGGGTCCACGAAAACACTCCTCACTCACTGTGTGTACAACTATATCATGCAGTGTGGCTCCTGCATGCTGTCAGTGTTTTAGAGTTGAGAGCCATCTCAGGAGGCAGGATGGTTCAGTTGTGTCATGGTTGCCCCCAGGATCTGGATCTAGTTCAAGTAGGATGGAAGCTGTACCCGATGATGCACCTCATTGCCTTGGACTCTAGCATATACTAGCAGCTCTGTATCAGACTCCAGAGACAAGTCACACAGAAGAGCTGTGGGAAACGGGTTTAATGTGTTCAAGGCAGCAGCTGGCCTGAGCATCATGCATGCACATTACTCCCCATGAGATAGTTCATCATACATAGAAAATATAGCCACTGACAACTGGCTCCATCGTATGCTGAGTAATTGTTGTTCTACAAAGGTTGGTAATATAGAGTAATGAATTTTACTTTTTTTTTTTTTTTTAAAAAAAAAGAACTGAATTTTACTTTTTTTTGGCTGCCAGTGAGTGCCTCCTGCTGGTGCGTTGTTGCAGAGTATCTCAGCGGGGACTCCTGGGCACCCAGAGGCAGTACTGGGTCCTGCCTGTCTACTGGCTACTGTGCCAGCTGAGGCGCAGGGTGCTCTGGAGACCTGGAGACCCTCTCGAGGCGCTGCTTCCTGCATGTGTTACTGTAGTGCACGGCTCTGGGACAGGGAGGACAGCACGAGGGCTTGCCGCTCTCTAGGCAAGAAAGCCCCTGCTCAAACCATCAACAGTGAGGAAGGGTGTCTTCTGAGGAGCTCAAACAGCCTTTCGTGTCCAGCACCCTCCTGGTTTTCCATTTGTAACCATCTCAAACTTTCTCTCCTTTTTGGAGTCTCAGATTAAATGACCCTCCACCCATAGCCTCCTTCGCACTCCACCGAGGACTTGTCAAGTCCCCATTGGCAGGGCCAAAAGAAAGATCCACTTCCTCCCATCGTTCTTTTAAGATGGTGCTGCTGAGAGTTTTGGGTCTTAGGACTCTTTTTCATGCTTCAAAATTATGCACGATATCTATTGGTATTTACTCTATTCAAAATTTCAACTGAGAAATGAAAAAAATATTAATTTGTTTAGAAATACAAATAATAAACCCATTACATGCTAATATAAGTAACACGTTTTAGGAAAAATCTATGTCTTCTAAAACAAAAATCATTCACTGAAAAGCATGGCATTATTTTGCATTTTTGCAAACCTCTTTCATGTCTGGCTTACTAGAATTGGAGGATTCTTATACCTGCTTCTGCATTTGATCAATATGTTTTGTTTGACATATATGAAGGAAATGTAGCTTCCCATGGATGTGCTGGAAATGGGGTGTGGGTGTGAGGTAATTATAAAAGACTTTTAAGTGAGTTGTCCATGTTCGTCTTTGATACTATATCAAACCTGATAAGTAGTAGTTTCTTAGAGTCTAGTAACTAGACTCTAGTTCCACTGTGGAACCGGAAACCACACCAATGAACTCTTTTACTCTTACATTAAAACCCCTTTATCTGTCGCACACTTTGAACGGACCTTTTACCCACGATTTTGGAACATCATGCACTGATCATTTGTAAAATATTGGTTCACTAATGCAACTCATCCAACTGTTGAGACTTCATTACTTTATTATGCTACTTTTAAAAATCCTCACTGAGGATATGGTTTTTAAAAATGGATTTTAGAGAGAGAGGAAGCGGGGAGAGAGAAAAAAACACCAATGTGAGAGAGAAACATCCATCAGGTGCTCCCTGTATGGGCCTGACTGGGGCTCATACTCAAAACCTAGGTATGTACCCTGACCGGGAATCAAACCAGCAACCTTTTGCTGTCGGGGATGATGCTCCAACCAACTGAGCCACCCGGCCAGGGCTGTACAATATACATTTAAAATTTTCTTTGTAATATCACCACCGATCTCATCAGGAAGTCTGTCTTGGGAAGCAGTGGGGCACCCAAGGGACCTCCGGGTTGTGGACCTTTGAGAACTGCTGTTTTGAGTTGTGAACTGCTGACAGAGGCCATGAGTTTCCGTCCTCATTATCTTTTCTAACTAAGGCTGAGTTAAAGAGCACGGGGTTTGTAATTCCTCTCCCCCGCCCTCTGCCCCAATTTACTTTGTTAAAGGTCTGTCTTCTCCACTTTACTCTTGCCTCCATGTCTGTATCCTTAGCATGTGGTGCTGTGCCTGGTGTAGAGGCACAGTACTGCTCAAATACACCGGTGGAATGAATGACTGGGAGGGAAAAAGGGAGGAATGAAGGCAGGAAGTGGGGGAGGGAGAGAGGAGAGAGCTCACCCTGACCCCTAGTGGAACTGGTTGCTGGATGAGCCGGACTGAGCAAGTTGCAAGCAAAAAGCAATTTTGTTATTTCTCACCTTAACCCCCTCAAGTCCATTCTGTCAGCTTGTTTTTCTCTGCCCCTGTGTGAAATTCTGAGCATGCCTAGTAGTGTTCGAATTCCTCATAGAATCAATGTGGTAAAGGGTGTGATTCCTGGCTTTGCAAGCCCATGAAACTGATTTCTATCAGTGTATCCACTGTTGATTAGGCCCAGACAAATGCTTCCGGAGTCAACTCACAATAGGTTGCAAATGTGAAGGTATTTTATTATCTATAAATTTCCGTTACAAAATATTAGTTTTTTTTAATTGAGATATAATTGACATATAACTGTGTAGTTTTAAGGTTTACAACATGTTGATTTTATATAGATACAGATATAAAATCGCCACAATGTTAGCTAACACCTCTACCAAATATAATTATCGCTTCTATTTGGGGTGAGAACAGTTAAGATCTAGTCTCTTAGCAACTGTGAAGTTTATAATCCAGGATTGTTGTCTATAATCACTGTGCTGTGCATGAGATCTTCAGGATTTATTTATCTGCTAGTTGCAAGTTTGTACCCTTTAACAACATCACCCAATTCCCTGACATGTTAGTTTCTTTTAAAATGAGCCTGATGTATAAGCCCCAGAGCCAATTCATGCATTTGGATTTACAATTTAGCTCATCTCATTTAGTTTATAAAAACCAGAGAACACAAATGATTAATCAGAAGATTGCTTGGTGGGCATGGATTCAGAGTAAAAAAGTATTCACTAGGCTGGGCAGATATTTACCACAAGCCAAGAAGAATCTAATGAGCCCTAGTCATTACTCCACACTGTTCACCGTTTCCTGTCCCAGGAATCCCCAGAGACTTGCAGGACACCCGTGTATTTGCAGCTCCTCTGCGTACTGCCAGTTCTCATCCTTTCTCCATCTGCTATTGGTCATTTCTCTTTCTCCTCCTGTGTTGTAAAAGCCTCTTTGTGTATTTGTTGTGACATATTTTTTGTCTTTTATTGTAACATAATATTTGTCTTTTATTACTTTATAATATTTTCTTTTTGCCCTGAAGAAGTTGAGATTTTTATCTAACACTAGAGGCCTGGTGCACGAAATTTGTGCACGGAGGTGGGGGTGTCCCTCAGCCCGGCCTGCACCCTCTCCAATCTGTGACCCCTTGGGGGATGTCTGACTGCCTGTTTAGGCCCGATCCTAAACCGGCAGTCGGACATCCCTCTCACAATCTGGGACTGCTGGCTCTTAACCGCTTGCTTGCCTGCCTGCCTGATCACCCCCTTAACCGATCCCCTGCTGGCCTGATTGATGCCTAACTGCTCCCCTGCAGGCCTGGGCACCCCCAACTGCCCTCCCCTGCAGGCCATCTTGTGGTGACCATCTTGTGGCAGCCATCTTGTGATGATGTGGGGATGGCCATCTTGTGGCGACGTCATGGTGGCTATCTTGTGATGATGTTGTGTGACGCCACCGAGGCTTTTATTATATAGGATAATTTCTGAAATATTTTTTCAAGTGTAACT